GAAAACCGTGTACTGAAGTACAATGAAGCTAACGTACAGCGTCAGAAAGAGGTATACAAGCTGCATTCTAATTCTGCTGGGAAAAATAAGAAAGGTAAAAAGCCAAACATATATGTATGTAAATAAGCAGAGTTCCGATAAGTTAGTTTAATTACAATATTTAGGCACACCAAAGGGCAAAAAAGGTGAGGCCACCATAGGAACCGCATCAAAGGATGGCACCGCTAGCGGTAGTAGTGAATCACGCGCTTCCACACCATCAAAAGAGTTGAACACTACACCATTGGCAGCGCCTTCAACCACAGGTAGAGCTAATCGGACAAAACCAGCTACTAGTACCCCAATTGCCAAAGATAGTGATGCTGGAACCGTAACAAAAGAGGAAACAGGTGCTACAATTGTCGCTAATAAGGATGACGCAGCCAAAGATGAACCACCAAAAAAGAAACGTGGAGGGTCTACATCAAATGCTAGCGATAAATCCAATTGTAGTGCAGCTGGCACAAGTACCAATGTAACTAGCACACCTGCTACCACAGCAAGTACGAGTATTACTCCTGCGGCAAGTCACACTCGTTTGGACACATGCGTGGAATCCGAAGAAACATTCCTCTCTAAAGTGGAGGTGAAAATAAAAATACCAGATGAACTAAAACAATGCCTTGCTGATGACTGGGATGCTATTACGCGGCAGCATAAATTACTTGACATTCCAGCAAAAATCACTGTACAGGATATTGTTGACCAATACATTGCCTTTAAGAAGACCTCCAAGTCGACAAATGCTTCCAAGGAAGTAGCCATTAACGATGTACTAAATGGAGTTGTCGAGTACTTCAATGTCATGCTTGGCTCACAATTGCTCTATAAATTCGAAAGACCTCAATATGCGGAAATATTGCAACAACATCCAGAAACATCACTCTCTAAGCTCTATGGCGGATTTCATTTGTTACGTCTATTCGTTAAGCTGGGATCAATGTTAGGATTCTCCGCGTTGGACGAAAAGTCGATGCAGATGTTACTGGTACACCTACATGACTTTCTAAAATTTCTTGTAAAGAATAGTGCCACTTACTTCAGTATGACAAACTTTGTCAATGTTAGTCCGGAGTATCATCGCAACACTCAATGATTTTAAATTTGTTGCGGATGCTGAAGTTGTACGAACGGAGACGGTAAAATTTTGACTAGTGGGATTGGAAGAAAAATAAAAGGATTTTATCATTTAATCTCATTCGCATATTCATATAACTTCATTTAACATTTTAATGTATGCAAGTACGACTAGCGTACTAATACAACTTTTGTAAAGGGATTCTTTGTAGTGAAATCACGCATTTTTATTTTAACGTGGTATGTTTTCTTCAATATATGTATTGCCAAATGTAGACATCATTCTGTATTCTATAATAAAATTACATTGTAGTTTATATGTATGTATATGAAAATGTTCTGCTGAGTTTTTAAACTAGAATAAAAATCTAATAAACTTTAAGCACTCTTCGATGTCTTTAAATATTTGGCATAATCTATACACACGCGCCCGCTAACTTTTACCGTATGTCCACGGAAAAAATTACCGTATATCCACGGAAAAAATTACCGTATATCCACGGAAAAAATTACCGTATTTCCACGGAAAAAATTACCATATATCCACGGAAAAAATTACCGTACCTATATCCACGGTAAAATTACCGTATACCACGGTAAAATTTACCGCATATCCGTGGTAAAAATTACCGCAGATCCACGGTAAAAATACCGTATATCCACCGTATTTTACGGTATATCCACGGTAATAATTACCGGTATAAATTATTGTAGATCCTTAAAGACCTCCGATTTTCGGGGTAGAGAGGATTAAGGGGAAGAGGGGCGGAACTTCTTTCTGCGTAGCTGCCTTTGGCCGCGCTTAGGGATTATTACCCTTAATACGCAGAATTATTTCTGTGTTCCCGGAGAAGTGAGGCGGAACTTCTTACTGCATAGGGGGCCTTCGGCCGCGCATAGGGATTATAACCCTTGCTGTGGAGAATTCTCCTTTCTGTGTTGCCGAAAAGGTGAGGCGGAACTTCTTTCTTTATGGCCTTCTGAAGTACGTTCTATAAAAGCTCTTCTGGAAATCCTGTCATGGGTAGCGAAATAAGAAGCCCTTTAATCTTGCTTCTCAAGAGGGCCTTTCGGAAGGGCTTTTAACTCCTGAAATTAGCTACTGGGTTACTACGCAAGTTCTCCTTTCTGGGTTGCCAGAAAAGTGGAGCGGAACTTCTTTCTGCGTAAAACATTGAATTTACAAATTCATATATATGTATGTATATAAACATATATGTCGCATGTCCTCGCCCTTGTTTAGATGTCGTTTAAAAAAAAGATACCGTGAATCCACGGTAATTTTTGACATGGATTTTCGGCAAACAGACACTCTTCGAAATCACCGNTCTAACTTTTACCGCAAATCTACATTAAATGGCAGTTAATCGTGCGATTCAAAAATCACAGTGAATCCACAGTAATTTTTGACATGGATTTTCGGCAAACAGACACTCTTCGAAATCACCGTGGATCGTCTAACCACGGTAATTTTTACCGGATATACGTTATTTTTACCGTGCATCTACGGTAAAAGGTACTGTGACGTGTGTAAATACACTCCCTAAATATTAAGCTATTTAAAACCAATGTTTGTTGTTTTTTAGAGATATTGTATTTAAATATAAAAAAATAAAACAAACTCACGTCAATTCATTATTTTTTCCCGCTTATGCTAGCCCCATTATCGTGGTCTTCTTCCTCCTCTTCGCTACTACTGCTTGTAGGATAGAATTCACTAAAATCTTTTGGTTTATTATGTGCTGCTTTCTCTTGCTCTATGTAGTCATTTTGTACCCTGACTATTTCCTCACTAGATTTGCATTCAGCATACTTTTTAAGTAAGCTTTCATTGAGTTCAATAAATGAGTGTCCCCACGAGAACTTGCCCATGTACCATTGCGCTTCTGCCACGTAACCACAAATATACAGTGTAGCTGCAATCGCTTCGACACAACTCAATTTGCAGGGTTTCCCGTAGTTAATCGGGTTCGCGGCCACAAGATATGGCAGTAGACGTGGATGTGGGCTTCGCATGCGATTAAATGGTGTCTCTTCCAGTTTAGCCCAAGAACAATCGACCACTGCTACACCTGCTGCTTCAACAATTTCCTTATCAAGGGGGCTAACACAGCTCACCCCTACTGGTGTTAACACCAGACCAGGAAACTTCTGGCCCAAACGAAGGTTTTCGATCAGTCCTAAACGTGCCAACTTTCGCCCCGAACATTTCTTTGGGTCGCAATGGTTAAGGTCCCACATGGCTATGGGAAAGTTGGGTGGTCGCCCAATGCCATCTATACCTGCGTCGGAAGATGATGAGCTGCTGTCACCGTCATCGCCGCTGTTTGAATTCTCCTCATCACCGGCTAGTTCAGATGCGCGCTGCGCGAAATTGCGCTCACAATTGCGATTACTCTTAACATTACGGTATTGTCCACGCGTACCGCCCCCTCGTTTTCCACGGCCTCGGTTGCGTGAACTCATTTTGCTATGAATCTATAAATTATTAAACTGTTTTTAAATAAACCAAGCGAAACGAAATTGCCAAATTCAGGATCGTAGAA